CTTCCCTTGCACCAACAAGGCCGACACCCCCCAGGACCCCGCCTTTCGGTATCCCGGAAGGGACGGGGACATAGGCGCCGGGCTCAGGTCCCGCCCGCTCTGCCCTCTGGCTCGCCCTGCCCTCTGGCTCGCCCCTGGCTGTGGCTAGGTGGCTGCCTGCGGGTCCTCCGGCTCGGCGGTCTCCGCCGGGTCCCTCGGTGCCAGTCCTCGGTCCCGCCTCCGTGTCGGCCGCCTTCGGGGCCCCCCTGCTTCGGCTTGGCATCGGACGGCGCCTTCCCCGGCTCCGGCTGCGCCTTCGCCTGCCGCAGCTTCCCCCTCCTGCTAGCCTGCACCGGTGTTCCCTCTTGCTCCCTCCGTGTCTCCTCCGTCACTCCCTCGTCCCGTTCCCTTGGCCCCTGTGTGGTCCCCTCCTGCTCCCTCCTCCCTCTCACCTGCGGCCCCTCCGGCCGCTGCCCGTCGCCCACCTGGGCTCCTTCGGGCTCCCTTTTTTCCCCCATCCGTTCCTGTCTGATCTCCCCTGTCTGCTCCTCCTCCTTTCATCCCGCCTGTTTCTGCTCCTCGTCCCTCTGTTCCTCCTCCATTCCCTTCTGGCCCTCGTTTGCCTGTCAGTCCGGCTCAGCCTGCCTACTTTCCTGCTCGCCTGCACCGTGAACGTAACACAGAGTAACAATATTTTAGGAAAACTTTAACCATAACTTAATATCCATACAGAATTGAAAGTAAGAAAAAGTTTTATTTTAATACAGATGACTAGCGATTGTATGTGCATAACATGCAATGTTGGTATTAGTATTGCACCTCAGGGAAGCAGGAGTCGGGAAATTCGGTGAAAACGGGATTTAATGAGAAGAACAGCAAGGCACACGGGGCAAAACAAGGAGCAACGTTACGAAATTTCAATGACAGGACTGGGGAAAGACTAATAGGGAAGCACTTAAATACAGAAACTTAATCAGACAGGACTAGGAACAGCTGGTAACATAGAGATTACACACGTGGTTAACGAGGGGGCGTAGCACACAGGAGGAGCAGTATGATCAGGACGTGACAGTTTCGCAGTCCTGTGCTCCCCAGTTGTGTCATTAGAGTTGTAACTTGATAACGTCAGCCCTTCTCATTGCCTGCTCCATGTTTTGATCCCCCCGTGATCTTTTTGCTTTGTTAGATTAATATTGTATATTTAACTTTGTAGTAGTGCTGTCAAATGATAATTTTTTTTTTATCAGATTAATCACAGGGTTCCTGTGGATTCATTTTGATTAATCATGATTAAATATCATTCATTTTT